CCATTTTATATTGTGTGGAATATTCGAGCAAGATTGACTTTTGTCCTTAGCATATTTAAAGTCAATTATTGTCCTTAGCATATTTAAAGTCAATTATTTATATTTGAAGTTGTGATTTGTGCCCACGGTACTGTATCATCCATGAAATTGAACAATAGCTTCTTTAGCTGAATTTGCAGCTGAAGTATGCCAAATAAATTTTATAAATGAAAAGTCTGTAGATTTGACTGCATTTGACCAGGATCTTTCACGTTTTGTTTAAAATTTTCTGAGAAACCGGATGAAAAACAAATGACAATTGCTTCTATACTTTTATCATTTAAAGAAAATGTAAAATGCCTTAACCTACTTTTTACTGCCGTGAGATCCCGTATTCGAGCGTCCAAGTCACCGGTAGCAAGCAACGTCACTCATTCTCTTAGATAATTCTTTGCGCAAATGTAGAATGTTTTCAGATCCATATTTTTAGCGATACTTTTCGACTGCTTCGTGAACCCATAAGATATGGTGAATGAGACACAACAGTGCAGTTTCTTGATCAGAAGAAACCCACCCCACCATCTCGCCCCTAGGGATACGATGCTATGAGGCACAGGATGCCCCGTGCACCTTCAGTCCCAGTTGACCCTCCAAGTGAAAATGCGGTGCGATTCTGCCCGCTTTCTCCATATTCCCTGATGGCTGAAACAGATAATGCGAACCCCCTATCATGCCCTTGATCGTATCCTTATCCTCACGGGCAGATTTGCGCGCACCTCCTACGGCTGCTTAAAATGAAAAGGGGATTCCAACCGTGAGAACGCAGCCGGATCGCGAAAACGAGCCATTAGGCAACGAAACATGGAAACGACTCTGTGGTGGTGGACAATATGTCTTCATCGTTTCGCTTCGCCAAGTAGGACTTCACATGGCGACGTGCCGAGAAAAGCTGCAGTGCTGCGTTTCGGTCTGAAAAGGAGCCCGAAGTGGTTGCATTCCCCCCCCCCCCCCCCCCCCCCCCCCCGCACCCCCCCCCCCCCCCACCCACGCCNNTCGTTATCCCCCCCCCCCCCCCCCCCCCCCCCAATATAATCGTGACTGCAAGCAACGATTTGGGCTAATGTACGAATGAGGGCATCTCATTTTGGATCGAGGAATATTTTCTGACGAAGTGGCGATGTAACGATTCAGATAGTGTTCATTTTTATGACAAGGGACTCGTGCTGAAGAGGATTGAACTGTCTTGATATTCCTCCCAGGCACTAAATTTAAGATCGAATGGTCTTACATTTACGTATTTTTGGATGTCAAGTGGGGACGGGTAGAAACGGCGCTTGCCCAAGCTTTTCAAGAGGGAGTGGGAACACCATTTCCATATTTCTTGCAGGGACTCTAAAAAGATTACTGTCGAAGTGGGCGTCTCCAATTAATGGCTGCATTGGGAAGGGGTCAGTCCAAGCCCTCATGCATACTTTTCCCATGCTTCCACAGGTCGACTTTCATCATCGCCTCCCAACTCACCCCCCCTCCCCCCCATTTTAAGATCCTAGTAACCTTGGGGGACACAATTCGGTCCAAGTGGTTACTCCAGCGATAACAGGTCGAACACGAGTTCCATCTGAACTTCTGAAGTTGTTTAACGTTCAAAATCTTGAAACAGGAGTGCCAAATGGTGATCCGCAAAAGGAATTTTTTTTCAAGATTCAAGATAGTGATATCAAGAGGCGATTTCGCCCATTTCGATATCACGTGTCGAGGTCGAGCGTTCCTTAATTTTAGGGTAGGCCTAACCCTCTTAAAGCGAAATATTTTTGTATTTTGTTTTGTTTTTTT